TTCTCTTGCGCCCGATTCGCTTGCGCCCGATTCCCTTGCGCCCGATTCGCTTGCGCCCGATTCGCTTGCGCCCGATTCGGTTGCGCCCGATTCGCTTGCGCCCGATTCGCTTGCGCCCGATTCGCTTGCGCCCACTTCGCTTGCGCCCGATTCGCTTGCGCCCGATTCGCTTGCGCCCGATTCCCTTGCGCCCGATTCGCTTGCGCCCGATTCGCTTGCGCTCGACTCGCTTGCGCCCGACTCCCTTGTGCCCGATTCGCTTGCGCCCGATTAGCTTGCGCCCGATTCGCTTGCGCCCGATTCCCTTGCGCCCGATTCGCTTGCGCCCGTTTCCCTTGCGCCCGATTCCCTTGCGCCCGTCTCGCTTGCGCCCGATTCGCTTGCGCCCGACTCGCTTGCGCCCGACTCCCTTACGCCCGATTCGCTTGCGCCCGATTCCCTTGCGCCCGATTCCCTTGCGCCCGATTCCCTTGCGCCCGATTCCCTTGCGCCCGACTCCCTTGCGCCCGATTCTCTTGCGCCCGATTCGCTTGCGCCCGATTCCCTTGCGCCCGATTCGCTTGCGCCCGATTCGCTTGCGCCCGATTCGCTTGCGCCCGATTCGCTTGCGCCCGATTCGCTTGCGCCCGATTCGCTTGCGCCCGATTCGCTTGCGCCCGATTCCCTTGCGCCCGATTCGTTTGCGCCCGATTCGCTTGCGCCTGATTCGCTTGCGCCCGACTCGCTTGCGCCCGACTCCCTTGTGCCCGATTCGCTTGCGCCCGATTCGCTTGCGCCCGATTCGCTTGCGCCGGATTCCCTTGCGCCCGATTCGCTTGCGCCCGTTTCCCTTGCGCCCGATTCCCTTGCGCCCGACTCGCTTGCGCCCGATTCGCTTGCGCCCGACTCGCTTGCGCCCGACTCCCTTACGCCCGATTCGCTTGCGCGCCGATTCCCTTGCGCCCGATTCCCTTGCGCCCGATTCCCTTGCGCCTGATTCCCTTGCGCCCGATTCCCATGCGCCCGATTCGCTTGCGCCCGATTCGCTTGCGCCCGACTCGCTTGCGCCCGATTCGCTTGCGCCCGACTCCCTTGCGCCCGATTCGCTTGCGCCCGATTCCCTTGCGCCCGATTCCCTTGCCTCCGACTCGCTTGCGCCCGATTCGCTTGCGCCCGATTCGCTTGCGCCCGATTCCCTTGCGCCCGACTCCATTGCGTCCGATTCGCTTGCGCCTGATTCGCTTGCGCCCGATTCCCTTGCGCCCGATTCCCTTGCGCCCGACTCCCTTGCGCCCGACTCCCTTGCGCCCGACTCCCTTGCGCCCGATTCTCTTGCGCCCGATTCGCTTGCGCCCGATTCCCTTGCGCCCGATTCGCTTGCGCCCGATTCGCTTGCGCCCGATTCGCTTGCGCCCGATTCGCTTGCGCCCGATTCGCTTGCGCCCGATTCGCTTGCGCTCGATTCGCTTGTGCCCGATTCCCGTGCGCCCGATTCGCTTGCGCCCGATTCGCTTGCGCCCGATTCACTTGCGCCCAACTCCCTTGCGCCCGACTCCCTTGCGCCCGATTCGCTTGCGCCCGATTCGCTTGCGCCCGATGTCAGATTCATATGACTTAGCTGCTGTAGGCTATAGTGGGGTAGCACATATGGGGTACAGCTTTCTAGGGTTTGTACTTGTACCCAACTTTCCCTTAGCCTTTTCATTCCTCGTTCATTTTCACATGGTATAGAGCAGGTTCCCCTGTGGGAACTGTTCCTAGGGCCCACCAACTTTTTTTTCCTGCCCGGAGCGCGCTCAGCCTCTGCCCGAGTCGCGCTCCCCTCTCACGGCCCCGTCGCGCCGCCCTTACGACCCCGTCGCGCCGCCTCAGCGGCCCCGTCGCGTTGCGCCTCCCTAGCGGCCCCGTCGCGTCGCCCTTGCGACCCCGTCGCGCCGCCCTCGCGATCCCGTCGCGTCGCGCCGCCCTCGCGGCCCTTTCGCGCCGCCCTCGCGGCCCTTTCGCGCCGCCCTCGCGGCCTCCTCGAGCCGCCCTCGCGACCCCTCCACGCCGCCCTCGCGGCCCCGTCGCCTACCCTTGCGGCCCCGGCGCCACCCTTCCCGGCCCCGGCGCCGCCCTTCCCGGCCCCGGCGCCGCCTCTGCTGGCCCCGTCGCCCCACCCTTGCGACCCCGCGGCCCCACCCTTAAGGCGCCGGTCGCCACCCTTCGTGGCCCCGCCGCCGCCCTCAGCGGCCTCGTCGCCGCCCCACCCGGCCCCGCCGCCGTCCCCACGCGGCCCCGCCGTCACCACCGAGCCGCCGGCGCCGCTGAGCCGCCGATCTACCGAGCCGCCGCTGCTGCCAAGCCGCCCGAGCCACCCGAGCCGCCCGAGCCGCCGAGCCACCTGAGCCGCCCGAGCCGCCGAGTCGCCGAGCCGCCGAGCTCCAGTTGCTGCCGAGCCGCCGTGCCGCCGAGCCGCCCGAGCCGCCCGAGCCGCCGAGTCGCCGAGCCGCCGAGCTGCAGTTGCTGCCGAGCCGCCGAGCTGCCGAGCCGCCCGAGCCACCCTGTCCGGTAAGAGCGGCACCTCTACCACTGTGCTGCCCTTACCCTACTGCTCCAGCTGCTAGTCTACTGCTGTCATGGCTACCCCCAGTGTCCTCTCTTTTGACGCTGAGGGTCGGGCCATTGACTTTGACGTCTGGGTAGATGACCTGCAGCTTTTCCTACAGTGCGACAGGGCAGACGGTCTCTCTCTCTTTGACCTCACTTCTGGTGCCTCTTCTGCCCCTGCTGCTGATGCTGACGCCACTGTTCGCTCACAGTGGGCCACACGCGACGCTGCTGCCCGTCTTGCTGTGCGCCGCCACTTGCCTACCGCTGAGCGTGCACACTTTAGTCAGTACAAGAGTGCTAAGACCTTGTACGACGCTGTAGTTGCACGCTACTCTTCCCCTGCCACTGCTGCACTTAGCCGCCTCATCCTGCCGTACCTCTTCCCTGACCTCGCCGCTTTTCCCACAGTCGCTGACCTCATTACGCACCTGCGCACTAGTTACACTCGCTACCGTGCTGCCCTTCCTCCTGAGTTCTGCGCCAAGAACCCCCCCCCCTATGTACATCACCCTCTACTACGTAGTCACCCGACTCCCTGACACCCTTCGCCCGGTCAGGGACCACTTTCTCTCTGTTTGCCCCACCACCCTCACCGTTGATCTCCTCGAGGAGCGCCTCCTAGCAGCAAAGAAGAGCATAGTCCTTGTAGGAGCCTCTCGTGGTGACCCTCGTGCCCCTGTCTTTGAGGGGTGCTCCCCCTCTCCTCTCTTGCCCTCTGTTGCCTCTGCTGCTGCGGCCGACCTCGTTGGTCTTGAGTCGGTCGGTGCGGCGTCTGCCCCTAGCGGGAGATGCCGCACTGGCAAGGGCAAGGGGGGCAGGGGCGCTGGAGGAGCTAGCGGGGGCGGTGGAGGCGGCGGTGGAGGCGGCGGAGGGGGTGGGGGTGGCGGTGGGGGTGGTGGCGGGGGTGGGGGCGTCGGTGGCGGCAGTGGAGGCGGAGGCGGCGGCGGCGGTGGCGGTGGGAGCGGAGGTGGCGGAGGTGGCGGCGGTGGAGGAGGCGGCGGCGGAGGAGGTGGAGCTGGTCGGGGTGGCGCTGCGCAGAGGGTCGGCTCCGGTGGTGGTCAGCGCCAGCAGCAGCAGCAGCGCACTCGTGAGATCCCCCCCCCTCAGCAGCTTCGTGAGTGGTACGCTGCACGCCAGCGGGGTGGGGGTACTGGTCCGTGCACCTACGTCCTACGCACCGGCGACCGCGCGGGTGAGCCGTGCGGAGGTGCGCACTCCACCCAGCGCTGCTTTGGCGCTGCTTGGCGTCACCAGTTCCCTGAGGCCACTGAGATCCCTCGCTGGGGTGAGCTGTCTAGGGCGGGAGTAGCTATCTTTGACCTTGACTTTGATGCTATTCTTGCTGCCATGTATGCTGTGACTATTAGTGATGAGGGTGACTGTTGCTGGTGTTTTCCGCCCGACCCGGGCATTGGGACTGCTGCTCTAGGTACTGGTGAGGCTGCTGCTCTAGGTGCTAGCGAGGCTGCTGCTCTAGGTGCCAGTGCGTCTGCTTCCTCAGGTGCTGGTGAGTCTGCTCTCTCATGTACTGCGTCGGCTCCGGCCTCCCACACCTTCACTCTTGACTCGGGGGCTTCTCGCTCCTTCTTTCGAGACCGCACCACACTCACGCCGCTTGGTCGGCCAGTTGCAGTCTCTCTGGTAGACCCCTCTGGGGGTCCTGTCCTTGCTCACTTCTCCACTGTCCTCCCGTGTCCGGCGGCCCCCTCTGGCACCCTGTCTGGTCTTTACCTCCCCTCGTTCTCTACGAACTTGGTGAGTGGTGCTGACCTACAGGATGCGGAGGTTCACCAGTTCACTCCTGCGAGCCAGCGTGTGACCCACTGCACGGACGCTCGGACGGGCCGACACTTGGCCACGTTTACACGTCGGCCGGGGTCGAGCCTGTACACACTGACCACTGAGTCTCCTCCAGTCACTGCGTCTGGTCAGGCAGCTGCGTCGGGTCAGGTGTTTGCTGCAGCGTCCAGGTCTGGTCCTGAGTCTGCCCCCTGCTCGTGTCGCCTCCTGTCTCACGAGACTCTCCTCTGGCACCACCGCCTTGGTCACCCCTCCCTGCCTCGTCTCCGAGGCATGGCCTCCCGTGTCCTTGTCTCTGGTCTTCCCCGCTCCCTCCCTCCCCTTCCTCCGGGGCCTGCCCCTACCTGCGTCCCCTGTGTCGAGGGGCGGCAGCGTGCTGCCCCTCACTCCTCCCAGTTTCCTCCAACAGAGGCCCCGCTGCAGACGCTTCACATGGACGTGTGGGGCCCGGCCCGCGTCCGTGGACAGGGTCACGAGCGCTACTTCCTGCTGGTGGTTGACGACTACTCGCGTTACACCACAGTCTTCCCCTTGCGCAGCAAGGGTGATGTCACTGAGGTGTTGATCGACTGGATCCGCTCAGCTCGTCTCCAGCTCAGAGAGAGTTTCGGCTCGGACTTTCCTGTTCTGCGTCTGCACTCTGACAGAGGCGGAGAGTTCTCCTCTGGCCTTCTGCGAGCCTACTGTCGTGCACGAGGCATCCGCCAGACCTTCACGCTTCCGGACTCTCCACAGCAAAATGGGATTGCTGAGCGCCGCATTGGCATGGTCATGGACGTCGCCCGTACGTCCATGATGCATGCGGCTGCCCCCCATTTTCTGTGGCCGTTTGCGGTTCGGTACGCGGCGCATCAGATCAACCTTCTCTGCTGCGACGGTACCGGCCCCTGCTGCTGCTCCTGTGGCTCCGCCTCTGCCCTCTCCTGCTGCGGCTGCAGCTGTACCCGCTGCTGCGACCGGGACTCCTGCGCTACCCTCTCCTGCTGCTGCCGTGACTCCTCCTCTACTCTCTCTTGCTGCGTCTGTAACTGCACCTGCTGCTGCGGGTGGGACTCCTGCTCTACCCTCTCCTGGTGCGGCCGTGACTGCTCCTCTACTCTCTCCTGCTGTGTCTGTAACTGCACCTGCTGCTGCGGGCGGGACTCCTACTCTACCCTCTCCTGGTGCGGCCGTGACTCCTCCTCTACCCTCTCCTGCTGCGGCTGCAGCTGCACCCGCTGCTGCGACCGTGACTCCTGCGCTACCCTCTCGTGCTGCTGCTGTGACTCCTCCTCTACTCTCTCCTGCTGCTGCTGCTGCTGCTGCTGCTGCTGCTGTGCCCTCTCAAATCGCTCACGCTCCTCCCTCTCCAACCGGAGGAGACGCTGCTCACGGGTCAGGAAACGTACAGTGCGCGGTGTAGGCGCCACAGTGCCAGTGCCTCCAGCTCCAGCACCCCCAGAACCAGCACCTCCACCACCGACACCCCCGGGGCCTCCAGTACCTCCCGCAGGAACACCCCCAGGCTCCGCAGCAACCGACCGCAGAGAAGAAGGAGGAGGAAACTGCGGGACGGACGGGAAGCCACGGGGTGAGGCAGGGCGAGGCCGCCGAGTCGAGGCTGCCGTGTCCTCCACAGGAGTGACCTCCACGCCCACAACCCCTGCACCCCCAGAGCCGACACCACCAGCTCCTGCAGCCCCAGTACCCTCACCCTCCGCAACTGCACCTCCCGCACCCCCAGACACGACAGGGACTGGACGCTGCGGGGGGGAAGACTGCGGAGTGACGTGCGACACACCTGACGGGGCAGGACGCGAAGGGGGGGGGGGCTACCGGGGTGACTGGTGGGGGCTCAAGGGTGAGGAACAGCGGGGGGGAAAAGGCCTCAGTACCTCGGTGGGGGCGACTCCTGTAGTAACAGACAGACTCGTCGAACGTGACGTCCTGCGAAGCGAAGAACTGGTAGGTGACCGGGTCGTAGAACACCCAGCCGGAGGCGTCCAAAGGGAAGCCAAGAAAGACGCAGGCACGAGTGCGCGGAGACAACTTGTTCGCGCCAGGGGCGCGAACGTGAGCCAGACAACCCCAGACGCGGAAGTCAGCTGCTACGCCCGGAGAACCTGTCCAAAGGGAGACCGGCGTCACCCTTGGCCGTGCGTCACTGGGCCGCAGGTTCAGCTGGTGCGCGGCGTAGCGGACTGCCTGGGGCCACAAGAACTGGGGGGCACCGGCATGGCACATGGAGGTCCGGGCAACCTCCATGACCAGGCCGATGCGTCGCTCGGCTACCCCGTTCTGCTGCGGTGATGCTGGTAGCGTGTAAGACTGGATGATCCCCCGACCCTGACAGAACGTCTCCAGGCGAGTGGAAGAAAACTCACCACCACGGTCCGAGTGTAGGCGAAGCCCACACAAGCCCTGGGCGCCACCCCACGCTAGTAACCACGGCTCGAGGACGGTAGGCACGTCGGCCTTCCGTCGCAAGGGGAAAACCGTGGTGTAGCGGGAGTAGTCGTCCACCACAATCAGGAAGTAGCGCTCCTGACGTGGGCCAAGGACCGGAGAGGGGCCCCAGACGTCCAAGTGCAGGGTCTCGAAGGGAGCCGTGGTGGGGGGGAACGAGGAGGAGTGAGGGGCAGCGCGCTGCCGACCCTCGACGCAAGGAGTGCACAGCGGCGCAGGCGAGCGGGGAAGCGGTGCAAGCGACCCTGGGAGACCTGAGACCAGACGGTAACATGCCATCCTACTGAGACGCGGGAACGACGGGTGACCTAGACGGTGGTGCCAGAGGACCGACGGGTGGGTGAGGGACCGACAGTCACACGACACAGCTGTTATAGTCACAATAGGCTTGAATGTGCCTAAAACGAAAGATAGAGAGCACAGACGGATTTCTGCACAGCGGCTTCAAACGTTGATAGCGTTCTGCTCACAGCTGCAAATGACCTGATTCAAATTGGATCTGGAGCGTCTTCACGTCGTCTACAATTAGCAATTTAGATTGCACGATTTGATAAAGAATTGACGACACAGCGTTGGTTTGAACGAACGGTACTATGGCAGCCACTATAGTCTTAGAACACAAGATAGGAAGAGTTACGAGTTGGGAATGACTCCCAGCTCCTACAAACCCCAAGAGCCGAGGTA